AAATGCGGCTCGATTTGTCATATTTTTCAACACCGTGGGTTTGCCTCACTGGGAGGGGATGTTTGATGNTGAGATGTGAGTGACAGGCAGAGAGGAGCGGAGAGGAGGGGGGCCCGTCGATACATTTTTGTTGAAAAAATGCGGCTCGATTTGTCATATTTTTCAACACCGTGGGTTTGCCTCACTGGGAGGGGATGTTTGATGGTGACCCCGGGTTTTGTATTGTATTGCGATTGGAAGCGCCTTGCTTGTGGCGACAGCCAAGGTGTGTCTATAGAGGAGGCTGGCTTGTGTAGGTATCTGATGTGACGGCATGTTACTGTACCTCAACAGGGATTTGGACAGTACACGTAGGAGGCTGCTGCAAGTGTACATCCGGCAAAGGATGTCCCTTTTGAACTGTTGATGTTCGAGCACGTGGTTGAACAGACAGGTTCGATGTTGGTGTCTCCCCTCAGTCGTGAACTGCACTACTGCTGTACAGCAGGAGGTTTGGGTAAACCTTCGCTGGTGTTGGGAGCGGATTGCTGCAGTTGGTATGAGCAGCGAGAAACCCTTGGACAAATGAGAGCAAGTTGCACACTACGCCCGACCGGTGACGGTAGAGCCCAGGTTGTCACCTCCCCCCCAGCATGTCACAATGAGCTCGGGCTCCTGGTAGAAAAAAAGGAGACCAATAATAGTTGGAGAGGCTTGCTCCAAATGTTCCAAAACGACTCCAATCAGACTCATGATGACTTGCGCTTTTCTCTCGCTCAAGCATCTGAGATTCTGCCTCTTTGCGCAATGGAAAGAAGCTGCTGTCGTCGACTCTTCACGTCCGTCTGACTGCTCTCTCACAAACACGCCAGAGAGAACAGAGAACGCGCCGTGCACACCTGCAGCAGTGCAGTCAACTTTTGGGAACGATACCTTACCTCTGACCTGTCAAACAGCTGTAGGCCGAGACACCTGACTGAGGAGATGCCAACAAATGTTATAATGCTGCGCACCACATGCGAGAGTTCGTTCTCCTTCTGTCAACTTCCACAAAACCTGAAAAAATCCTCAACGTTCTATAATAGTACACCGCGCTCTCATACCCCCTCCCCCGCCTTCGTGTATACTGTACAACCAGTCGAGGCACACAGCGAAGTCCCGACCCCAAAATTGTGCGAAAAAACATCGCTTCAACACCTACAATAACCACCAAGAGTAAAGGATAAACGCATGAGCGCACAAGAAAACAAAACAGCAGTTGCGTGACACGCCAGTGCACGACTTCACAGGTAGGTGCGTGACTGCTCACGAAAAGCCATAGCAAAACGATTGAACGTTTGACTACCCACGCTGCCGGACTTGTACCTGTGACAAGGACAAGCAACCCGATCAGCTTGCCCCCTACAGAGCGCTTGTGGCTTTGGGCCATCTCAGCTGGGACACCATAAGCTTGCACTACGGGCATGCGGTCACTATTGCCTCATTATGACCCAAACAAGTTTCCTGATGAAACTAGCCCGAGTCTGGCAACAGCCAGGCTTTTTTGCCCCCTTCAGCCATCACTCCCTGAATTCGTTTTGTGATTCTCCAATCCACTCCTTGGCCATCCTTCCTCTGTTGCGTTTGCTTCCACACAAATCTTGCCTCCTTTCGTCTTGATCGGTCGATTTCTCGCATGTCTTGCCATGCGCTTGTGTCATTTCTTCACACCAATATTTCTTCCTTTCGTCCTAGTCGATTGTGAAACACAAAAATTGGTGCCACGCCGTGCGAACCAACCCGGGTTATCAAACCGGGCCACGGGCCACCTCCATCGCCTTGTCAATCGTGTCAACGCCCTGACTGATGCCCTGCGCGCGGTCCCCCTTTCCTCCGCCCTTTCCTCCCCTGCCGGACGCATCAAGCGCAGACTGAGGCCGTGATGAGATGCATGCGCGACAAGGACAGCCGGAAGGGCAGCAGCGTGGAGGGCGGGGGCATGAACACACTCGCATACAAGCGCTCGTAAGCGTTCACCCATGGAAACTAACACGGTCACGCCAGACAGCTGCGTCGTCATTTCTATGCTGATACCGCATTTCGGGAGACACCATACCGCTGGGGCAGCTTGTAAAGCAACCGTTACACTTCCAAACGACACAAAGAACAGCAGCCTCGTGGTGTATGTGGAGTACGCACCACACTTCCAAGTGTAACCTTCGTGTAAGTCTTCGGACTTGGCTTTCTAGACAAAGAACGAACGCCCAAACAAAACAAAGCCTTGAGTGTGTACGCGAGCATGGGAGTCTTCCTGACCCCTCTATCGTAACCGAAGTGCCACATAATTATCATCACACCTGCACCCATTTGTTGGTGTCCTTCTTCGCAGCCTTAGAGTTGGGGATGAGGCCGCAGCACAGATACCGGTCAGCCTCTTCGTCCGCGGTGAAGAGCATCATGGACGTCTGGGTCAACAGGAGGATAGCCATGCCAGGACGTGGGAGAAGGGCAAAAATTGAGGGTTTGATACATGTTAGTCACGGGATGCCTAACATCGATTCACGCGTTGTGGGGCAGAGTTGTACCGCGGTGTGCCCGGGACGGGTAGGCGCACAGAACTTTGTGCCTGTAACATGTAACCGGCTTACCTTGCGAGAGAGCAGACCCCTCAAGATATTGTATCGGCTCGCAAATGACCAATCCTGATTCACATGAAAACTTCGCGCGTCGGCGTGTACGTGGAGTGGCGCAACAGCAGTAGTACACATGACATAGTGCACCATGGTAGCAATCAGGCGCACGTACTCACCAGTTCAGGACATGCCTTGGACACCTCGGCAAGGATCTTTACGGCGGACTTCGCATCGCACCCGAAGTCCGCGCGGAAAACCAGCTGTACGTACAAACGCGAGAGGGTAGCGAGGAGCGGGGCGGAGTGGTTCTGTTACTATGACGTTCCACGGTCTGTGGTAAAGTGGTGGGCTCCTCGACCACATACATGCGTAGGTACATCCGGTTCCCCGACCCATTCGGACTCGTGCTCGGCGCAGTGGCACACGCCAATACATGGTTCCACATAAGACTCTGGAACGAACAATGCACTGATTCGCTAATGCCTGGCGCACACTCTAAAGCGTTGTGTTGACAACCTCGCAAAATATGCAAGACAGCAAGACTAGTCCGAAATCCAGACAAAAAGACTTGCCCAGAGCGAATAGTAGACTCGCTAGAGACCTGGCACCGACACAACTAGCCTGCCTCGGAAGCATGGGGCAAATAAGCTGAAGCAGTGACACCATACTTCTCGGGGCTGCATATCGCTAGATAGCTTTCAATACCCCCGCGAGTCTGAAGTCGCTCCTGCTGCTGTTTGTTGTCCAAGAGTTCAGATTCAACACGAAAAATTCCCGACTTCAGTACCTGGGTCCCACCAGCCTCCTTTGTCTTCTCGGCTTCCGCCTTACCCGCAGTGACCGCCTGTCCCACACGCTCCTCCATCACCTTCTTCTTCAGTGCTTTAGCCTATAATTTGAAACCATCACAGGCACGACGTCGAAACGCTGTGAGCAAACGCGCTATACGCCAAGCACAGTTGAGAAAACAGGTTCGGGTTTCATGCATACACCGCAACAAATTTCCAGCTTCGGTGCGAGGCTCTCCTTGAAATTGTCCGAAAAAACGCCCGTCGGCACCAGTGTATCCCCAACCATACAACACCACCACGCTAGCATCTCACAGTGCACTAGGGTTCTGCAAACTGCATGTTGTAGAGCAATGCAGGTCGTACGCGTGTGTGTCCTCACAACACATTCTACATACACAACGGCCGGCCGGCCGCCAGTACTGAGGGATAAAAAACCACGACGGCAACGCCACGCCCATGGTGGCACACTACATGGATCACTCGTGCGTGAATGTACAGTACAGGAATAACTTCAAGTACCTTTTGGACAAGGGTCGCCAGACGAGCGCGTAGTTTGTTCTTCGCCTTGACCGAGATAACTGCACCGTCAAGCTCCGCACCCAGGCGTCGGACCTGAGAGTACGTCGTGGTATCGTGGTATCAACGCACCAAGACTAAAACGTCGCCGCAACGCCTACGTGTCTTGTACGAAGTTGATTCACCACACGGAAGTGGTCCGCCACAATGTCTTGGGGTCACCCGGCTCGTGGTGACATGTCCATTGCGTGCAATCGATGTGAGATACTAGCGGGCGATAGACATGATCAAGGAATAGAGCGGTCTTCCCAATATTGCATGCATATCGCGGAGGACAGCTACCCTCTACCCTGAAAGAAGACGAACGGATAGCAAGTCTCGTGTCCCCACGGGCGCGATGACAAACCCAAGCAAGTACTTCAAGTATTGAGGTACTTACCTTAGTGTCGAGAGAGATGTCTTCGATCCCGTCGGCCACATCGAGCTGCTGTTCGAACGCCTTGGCCCTCTCAACAGCAGCAAGGGCCAGCCCGCGGGTCACTGCGACAATGCGCCGCACGCCCTTGGCGATGCCCGCCTGTGCATTGCAATACCATAGAGCATCATGTTCCATCAGTCCGTGCTTACGTCCCACCAACAGCAGCATGGCCCTCAACTGCCATGCACCTGACCGGTGATCAGGAGGAAAATCGTCACCCGTTGAACTTGATGCACGGAATCAAGTTACAAGAAGGATTCTGGCCGTCTGGTTGGGTGAGTGCATATCCTCCGTGGTTTTACTTCATCATGTACTATTAACACCTGGCTTCATGGTCTTGTCTCGTGATTGTGATTCTCGACCATCGACACACTAGACACAAACTGTACCACCCCCTTCATAACGCACTCGTTGAAGCACGGGTATATCGATGTCAACTTGGCATGAACATATTATGATTCCCGCATTATTTTTCTGTCGTCCCATATATTCTCGGCACGTCTACACCTCTCAGTACACTTCATATTTGACGCACAAGCGGCATCGACTTGCCAGTTACGGACAAGTCGTCTCTTGTTGTTGTTGTTGTTTCTCACATTAGCTCTGTAGTCCACAAAAATGGGGAGCCCGTGGTCTCAAAACCCGGCACATACGACGCCGTGAGAAAAAAACAAAAACAAAAAAAGGGTGCAAACCGCTCGGAAAAAGAAAACAAAATGATAGAAAGAAAAGAACAGGTATCGCACCGACCGCTCGAGAATAGAGCCCTCGGACACCGATCAAAATCAAACAAAACAAAAATAACAGTCTCTGTACCTACAGGAACACGCCTAAAACACGACAATGCCCCGTGCTGCTGTATCACCTCCTCAAGGATGACGAACGTCTCCGCCTCCTGGGTGTTGCTCAGGTGGGTTCCGCCGCAGAACTCCACCGAAACGTCAGACCAGGCCGAGTTCTCGGGGTCCTCAAGCATTGCCGGCACCTGTTGCAGTAATCAACACGACTCAAGCGAACCTCCAGCACGGTGTGCGATACCACGCCACACCGAAATACAACAACAGGACGTGACACACGACATACTTCGAAGTGCATACTACCTCCGAACCAGGCAGCTCTGACAAACCGACAAACGCTGCTATTTTAGCAGTTGTGACTTCAAGCCGACCTCCAGCCCTCGTTGCGCCGAGTCACAACAACATCGATATGGCACTCACTCATCCGTTCAACTGAAAGCGCTCACGCTCGGTCATTCAAGTGTCAGTCGTCAAATTTCAATAGCATCCGAACTCGTTGAGATGGAGCTCTCGAGCATATACCGAACTTCAGTCACACGCAGCTAGTCTGCAACTGCGAGGAAGTGCTTCGAGGCAAAACACATGTGCATGCGGTAGGACGCCTGAGGTATACATGCTCCGCAGTGTTCGCGCACTTACATCCTGGCCGATGCTGAGCACTCTCACTGGGTCAGGATACCTCTCGCCAAACACGCCACGGAGGCTCTGGATGCGCTGTGCCTGATGACGGTTGGCGAATGAGTGTTATTAATAGTGGAGACGAAAAGCCACAAGCAAGCGATCATCAAAACGCGCACACCTGTCGTCCCGACAATTTGACTGTCACGGTAGACTGCAAACGAAATGGAGCAACATGTTATCAACTGATCAGACTATCAGATATAGACAAACCAGTGTAACAGTCGGGTTTCTCGATCCACGGTGACCTTCACTCTTGGTGTTGTTACCTCATATGCATACCACAGATATTTCCTACGACCATTATTGAAGGTCGGCAACGGTAGTTGAGGCTGCTGCTCTTCTGAACAACAAGATGATGCTGACGGCAGCCAAGAAATGAGAACGTAAGTGAATCCACGACCGAGAACCAACGCGTTACGCTTTACCTGTTCGAGGGGCGCGACGAACGCGTAGACCGGCAAGTTCTTGTTGATCTTGTCGTTCACCAAGTCCTCCACATCGGCCACCTGGTGACATCAAATTACCGTCAACACCGCGTCGAAAACAAGGCAATAAGCGGTCGTTAGGCCATCACGCAAGGGGCAACCAATACTGGTCGTACCTTGGCAACACAAGAGCCAACAGCTGGAGCCAGCAACATTCCCTCAACAGATGCCATGAAAAACCGCACTATCGCACCATGAACGGCACCAGCACTTCGGTATTCCCTACTTCTTCAATACGAAGCGTTCCGGGAACACCAAGGCCGAAGATCTCACCCATCACCGGCAGCAACTCCAACAACATCAACCACAAGAAACAATGGAACTTGACAAAGAACAAGAATCGTTGCGACACTGACACGAAAAGAACGTCAGCCGCGTAGTGTACGTACCTAGATACGTACCTAGATACCTAGAAGGAAGGATAACTAAATTTACCGCTGAATTGTACTGGAACACTGTGTACAGATTTGTTATTTTTGCTTTGTGGTTCGTTCGCTGGGCTCTTCGAGTACAAAAACTCAGCTGTGTGAGCTGTTCGAGCTTGAGAACGTCACTGATGGCAGCTAGCAGCTGATTCACACCAACTGCTATATTTTCATCTTGCATGACGTCTTCATGACAGACAACACTCTTGTGCTCTGATGAGCAGCCCATGCGGAGACGCTCCTCGTAATGACGATGGAAATGAACCCACCTGTTCAGCCGTGAGAGCGCCTGACCAGGAGAAGTCGAATCGAAGTTTCTCATCGTCGAGGAAAGAGCCCTTCTGGTCGCACATGCCATCAGAAGGATCCAACACCTTGACGAAATGAAGAGAGAGCGAACGCGAGAGAGAGACAGAGAGAGGGGGGGGGGGACCGACGTGACAATACGACTCAGACAACGTCTTACACTGAATGATTGGCACAAACGATAACAGCGCTGCACACCACTTGTTGCTCTGCATTGGATATTGAGTACAGTAGGGCTGGTGCCTGAAAAACCAACGGCGTCAAAAGTTGTCTACGCTGCTCACGACGGAGCGAGAGCGAGCGGTTTGAATCGCCAGAGGTTGGTGGAGGCTGCAGTTAGTCGTGTACATGGACAGCTACAGAAAGTAGTGATAGTGAGTGCATGTCGTCGCCTACGCCAAGCAGCAGTCAAACGACCATCGCAAGACTGTGCACGTATACGAAATATCTGCCGAGCATCAATCGACAGGGAAGACTCACAGCAAGCAGTAGGAAAGTGGAGAATGAAGTGTGACATTAGAACGATGCAGAGCGTACATCGATAGCTTACAAGGTACGATCGTCAGTGCAAAAGATGGAGCCATGGTCGTCAAATCTCTCAACACGGCCTGCTGGTATGCATACGGATTTAATACTTTGTGCTGGATGTACCGCGACAGCCGGCTGTACCGTTCACTCTACCTACCTTCCTGAGGGCGAAGTTGAGGACGTGCGTCATGGTGTGGTTAGGAGCCACATTGGCACGTCTCTCGTAGTCCACCTTGCACACCACGTCGCTCCCCACTGACAGTGTGCCAGCCTTGACCTGCACCACACGGCACGGCATAAATTCACATCAGAGACGGGGACTTTCACACAAGACAGATAGCTAGCTCAATAGAGACAAGGTAGGTGGCAGCATGGACGATACCGAAAGGTAATCCACCGTTCATCACGGAAGCGGCTGCCCTGCGGATGGCACGCTGCTGTGTGAACGATGAAAAAAGTCCAATAACACCAACAGACAGTGATCATCAAGCGACTGCTCTCCTGTTGCTCCGTAAGGTGCATTGGCTACACGAAAGAGTACTGGTTCAAATGGCTACTCATTTGCCCGCACGTCTTGGACGTGTGCCGGCCGCCAGCTACACTCGTGCATAGACAGGCACACATCACATACCTCAACAGCCCCGTAATACTGTTGGCAACAGCTGGCAACGATATCACTTCGTACCCCGACTCGAACCGCCGCCAAGGAGGACACACATACGCTAGCCATGATAACAAGGTAGGGATGAACGGCTCTGACCACAAACACCATCTCTTCCAGAAATGCTTCACTCTTGATCGGATTATGTGAGGTGCATATCAGATTGTTTCCTATGTTGTCTCACGGTGTGTTGCTTTGCCCCGTCGAAACACAATTTCCACCCCTCACTAAAGTACCTGCCCGATGTGCAGGGTGTAGGCGCCGAAGTTAGAAACCTGGCGGACGGCGAACGAGCCAGACCCGTCCGACAGTGACAGCTCGCCGATGTCGTAGATCTGAGCGTGTCAACACAACAAGTGGCAACACCGTGACATTTGCTCACAATGCAATAGCGTTCAACACAAATCCTGTTTCTTAAGCGACTACCACGATTAGTCTAAAAGTGCCGCCAGATCCTTCGCCAACTCGAAAACACGTTGAGCTTGTGCAGTTGTGCAGGTCTGCCTTGCTTCTACACCAGCGTGCCTCGCCGAAAGCATAAACCCAACCTAAATAGTGGACGCACTCCCTTGCAAGCCGCTTTACTGCAGCCATCGCTTTCCTACCTGCCCGCCCCCCTCGGCGTAAAAGCTGGTGCAGTCAAGCACCACCCCGACTGTCTGCTGGTCTGCCTCGTCGACGACGGCGGACGCGGAAGGCACAAACCCTACACCGTCCTCTCCCTCTCCCTTCCCGACGAACAGGGCAAGCACCTAATCCGGCACGTGACAAATCAAATGGGCAACATTGTCGCGTAAGGAACGGTTCTGTGTTTGCCGCACGCACGAAGCGAGAGGGCCGCGAAAACCATGAGAAGGCACACTCACGGCAGCGTGGGAGTGAGGATTGGTTGAATGTTTCCGCGTGGCCATACAGCCTGGAGGATTCGAGCGCAGATCGTGAGAGAGTGTGGATCAAAGCAGATTGGGGGCACTCGATCGAGGCCAGGGCACCGGCCAGCTAGCTTGCCGATCAACAGCCTGAGGTGAATCGGGCGACACACAAAGCAGACACTACAACTGGCTTATGATAGACAATGAGGCACAGCCTCCCAACCGTGGACCCACTGATGTACGAATGGAAACTCGCCTTCGCTGCGGGCTGTTGGTGCCAGGTGTAGCGTCCAGACGCTTCCGTGGCCTCCGTGTCTCGCTTCGAGAGCCAGTCCATCTACAAACCAAGCAAACAGCACGGAAAGCCATGGTAAAGAAAGGGAAATAATGGCATGCGCCCATGACGAAGCGCTCCAATTCCGTTTGGCAGATGCAACAGACGGAGCAGTAGAACTGCCTGGTGCTGGTCCTTGCAAGTGCATCCATTGAGCATCCAACTTGAAAGCCGCCTCGCATTCTTCTTGTGTGAGCAACGTCATGTTCGTAAGAAACCCGTGGTGTAACCGGCCTATATGATCCATGCGCAAACGGCTTGGTACGGTGGTGTCTGAATCTCACCTGTTCAGCTTCCAATATCATAGGTTTGCCTCCGGCGGCCTTCTGGTTGCTTCTGGCTTGGTTGCTCTTCATCTTTTCGTCGGACATCTTCTGGTCGAAACCCTCAACGTCTACGCTCAAACCCTTGCAAGCGAACGGGCAAGAGTTATTGGAGTCGGCATGCACGTCGAAAGAAACGCCCCGGTCAGACCCTGCCGCGCCAGAAACAGGCACAACACGCTTTGAACAACGAAACGAACGCTTGGCGATCGATCGTGCAACAGCTGAGGGGTACCAAACAAGCGCGTGCTACTGGTCGCTTTGAGCCGCAGCATGTATCTGTCCGTACTCCAAGTAAGGAAGCCGGTACGACGTTGGCAGAACAGTAAAGCGAACAAACGTCAAGCTGGGGGAAACAATATCGGTGACAACACATTGATGCAGCCTGCACTAGGCTCGGAACACACCAAAGTGCTCAACAACCGTGGGACCACGTGAAACTAAATGGCACGTGTGAAAAAAAAAAATCAAGCCTGCCCACCAGTGCACATGCACAGTCTCAACGTTCGTGTTGCCGATCGCATGTATAGAATTCCACACCCCAGCCCTTGTCCCGCCGTCCAGCAGAAGTCACGTCCACGCCAACAGCAAGGCGTTGCTTGCGAGAAACAGCTCTAGTAGTAACCGGGCATTCTCAACCCCGTTGCTTGTCGAGAAATGCTCTTCAGTCGGTGACGGCGTAGTGTAACTTTACCTTCTCCTCTGCCATTAGCGTCAGCAGGTCGAGAGGGAAGCCCATAGAGGAGTACAGCTGGAACGCGACCGTACCAGGGAAAACCCTGCACATGATGCACATGTACAAGCAGCGAGGAGAAGCTGGGGCGATCGTCGAGCGGACCCTCATGCAGCTACTAGTGCGATGTGCGGACGCAACGCGTGCAAGATCAAGACAACTTGCACGATCATGGATGATGAAGAACGCTTGTCGGTTTGGCTGACTGAGGACACTCACTTGCTGTCGCCAAGGGCGGCCGCGACCTTGTTGAATTCCTTTAGTCCTTTGTCGAGAGTCTTGTTGAAGGACATCTCCTCGTCCTTGATCACGGCTGTCACTCGCGCCTCTGCGTCGACAAGCTCCGGGAATATCCCCTTCATCAGTCCCACCACCTTCAAAACCGCATCAACACGTGGAAGCGCATGAAAGCGCATGGTCCGCAAGGTATTAACAACAGCATCGGGGTTTGACAAGAGTTTTTACGGCAAAAATGCTGCAACAAACGGAGTTGGTCAAATCGTGTAGAGGAGAAGCCACCAATAAGCAAATACAGAGTGAACGCAAAGCACTAGTGGTTGATCCCTGCAACAGGCTGAACTACTGAGGCCGGTCGTCTTCTGCACGGCCAGTGACATCGCATGACCCAGATGAAATATTCAAGGTGTCCCAAAACTCTCAAGTAGTACCGGGTGGGTGTCGCCCGTGAAAGGCAGGTCAAATCTCTTGGCCCTACCACTACAATACTGCACGACTAAACAGCTACTGTTATCATTGTGCCCACTTCCGTGCACCATCAAAAGAAGAAGATGCCCCTGGATACAGTACAGTATAGCCGTGCTGGGGCCAAACACTTCCCCCAATTTTACCCCGTCACGCCGTGGACCCACTCACCACGGGCACAAGAGTGTGGAAGAAGCCAGGCTTGCCGCCGAGGACCTGTTGTCCGTACCTAATGGCCCTCCTCAACACGCGACGCAACACGTAACCGCGACCGTCGTTGGAAGGGGTGCACCCGTCCGTGATGGCTATCGTGAGGGTGCGGATGTGGTCAGCCACTACCCTGTAGGCCATGTCCATGTTGTCACTGTCCTCCTCGCCAACCTGTCAAAAAAGTACAAAAGACGGCAGCACCACACATGGCACATAAATACGAGCATGAACATGTAGCAACAGGGGCATACACAAAGAGACAAGACCGTTGCTTCTGGTCCAGGCAGGAGGCGCGCCTCACTGGATGATAAAACGAAATAACCACGTGTAAGCTCCGAAAAACGTTCGCCGGTAAGCTAAGCAGGGGCGTATGTGTGAATCTTCGCAATCTCATCTCGACGTGCAGTGCGGTGCCTCGAAAACGTACAAAGCCAACAAAACGGGATGGACGAGTTCAGAGCGAGCGGTCTTGTGGTTGAAGTAGGTGTGAAAAAGTACTGGGAACTTCGCCCAGCCCCCGGGTTTGTTACGAAGGCCTGGACTACATCGTCGGTAGAACGCGATGGTCATTTCTACAAGAGGTACACACACAACGAGTGCAACGCCGGTCAACAAATACAATACTCGAATACACAACAACACATGCCTGGTCGAAGAGTAACTAATAATATGCATAGCAGCCTAGGTGACTGTTCTACGAGCATGGCTTCCGTACCTTCCCGGTGTAGGGCCGAGCTCCAGTGGCGGAGCTAATGGCTTCGAAAATAGGCACGAATACATCCGTGTCGTAGTTGGACATCTTGCCCTGCGAGGTACGTGACCCGAGAAAAATAAGAAAGCAGGTAGGGGATTGTTGGGGTTGGTACGCTCAGGACGTTCACTTGCAGGCATCACAGGCCAGGGGCTACTATGCTCTGGCTCCAAAAAGAAGCATGGTGCAAAAGTGTGCGGCAGGCATCCCGAAGAGAGGATGTCAATTGCAGAACGGTTCTACTGGTACTTCGTACTAGGGTATGAAACAGCCTTCACCATCCACCAGGGATGCGTACGCCCATCAAGATGCATCATGGTTACGCCTACAGAGAAGTCTTGTGTTCCGCTGTACGACAATCAATAGGTACCCTTTGAAACAGCAACGCTACCGCAAAAAAGTGTCAGCGACAAGGGTACAAGGCGATCAACAAAACTTCCAGCTCCAACGATGGTTTTCTACCAAGACCTCTCTCGCACGTCGTGAATCCCTCAACTATTTGACCGTTGTGATACTGTAGCGCGTGGGCGTGCTTGCCTGCAGGATGGAGGCAAGGCGCTCGAAACCCAGGCCGGTGTCGATGTGCTTGTTGGGGAGTTCCTTGAGGCTACCATCGCACTCGCGGTTGTACTGGATAAACACCACGTTCCAGATCTGCACAAAGAAAACATTCAACATACAAGCCGCCGGAAATTGTGAAGCCTTGTGGTTGCCTTCACGTTGAAGCGGCACAAAAAAGCGAGGGCAGCAGCTCTGAGCGACACCACTGCATACCAGTATTGAGTCTGCAGTACGTTCGGGGTGCAGCGTCTCGCGTGGAGCATATTTCGTATTGTCCAGCACAAAATCTGCTGACAGTATACCGTGCGCCGAGCCATGGGCAAACAATATTCTGTGGGAGGGAGCTGCCTCACAGTCTACATCATGGTTCGCACGTGCAAAAGCCGTATCATTTGGTTTCATTTCGTCGATCAACCAACAGAGATTGCCGTGGTTTGGAACGCAAACATAACCTTCAACCAAACACATGGCGACCGATGTAGGAGTGTAGGTGATACCTCGATAACTTCGGGCTTGTCCATGTTAACATCCTTCGCGGCATCGCGGCCGCCGATGCGGTCATAGTGGATCTCCACACACGGCCCGCACGGACCAACGTCGCCCATTTCCCAGAAGTTGTCAGCCAGACTGAACGGCAGGACTCGGCTCTCGGGTAGGTACCTACGACACACGATCGACCCAAGGGATGGTAAGGGGTGGGGAACCGAATGGTGAGGTGAAGTCGCGGGCAGAGCAATTTCACACGAATTGAGTGCCAGATACAGGTCAGGACAGGAGTAGTCTGTGCACAAGAGCGGCGTCAACCCATAGCGTCTACATCACACCAATGACGAAATAATAAATATTGAGAGGAGAATGGTCACATTTTTTCACCTCACCATTCGGTTTCTGCCTTGATTTACCGCACGCACGCAATTGACGTTGATGGTGTCTAGCCTTGTCCCGTGAGGTTGTCATCAACCTTTCCGCACTCGTGCGGAGCGTCCAACGCTACGCCGCACCCTCTCTCACGCATCACCCCTCCTCGTGAACAACACAAAGTGAATTGCCTAACGTGTGTTGCACCTCGTGTATCAAGCAGGCAACTATAGTGACCTTCGACCCACCGAGAACGGTGGCAACTTGCCAAGCACACCGACGCCGCTGTGTCCGTTACATCACCATTTCCTCACTTGAGCCAAATCTTCTTGGCGTCCTCATCAGCTCCGACTCTCAGCTTCTCGTCTCCACCGAAGTACGTGGCGTACAGCCGAGAAGGATCGAGCTTATACACCTATTTATCGAAACACCAACCAAGACCATTTCAAGACAAGACGCACGGGAGAGTTACAGAATTACAACGCACCATCAGGACACCACCCCCCCTTGCACTGCTGCCGTGCTAATTTCGAGCCCTGTTATGCATAGCTTGGTTCGTCTGTGTGGAACGGCCTGGAACGTATCGCACAAAAGCAGTGGGGAATCCTATTGCACAGCTGCCGAGTGAAACGAACGGGCAGCATGAATGCAGGCTACTCCCAAATGCCGAAGGCAATTCATCGTGCTCCCTACTGCAGCAATGGAGAACATGAGCACGGGTGTACCACTACTGTGTAGGAACAAGGGACAGGCAACCCTCTGCGACCAAACATACAGGCACTCAGCGCTAAGGTGCCAAGTCCATCACGAAACGTGGAGTGCAGCATAGGCGATACACACGAGGATGAACAACATCAATTGATGATTACGACCGTTAAGCCGCTGGGACACTTCGCGTCGGGGTGTCCCCTGCAACCCGCTGTTACACCACCAGATACGTCGGGATTCAGAGTGTGACACTTACCGTGGTCAGACATTCCCATGCATACCCGATGGCCTCTTCCTTGAAGTAGCTTCCGAACGACCTGACGGACAAAGAGCAGCACACACAAGAATAGATGCTCATTTTGGTGATGTACGGTATCGTCGACACTAGCAGGTAGGACCGTTCCACTCGATTTGCATGACAGCTCCCCAACGGGCAGAAGATAACATGTTCGTAGCACCACATGCAATCGCTGGCACACAGTAAGCACCAATACGTCTGAGTTTCACACTGTGACTGCATGAGGCACCGCATCGGACCAACACCGTGATGTCCAACTGTTGATTTAAGCGGTGCAACAGAGGGATCAACGTCACGGAGTGCCGTACACACAGCTCTGGAGAAGCGAACGGGATGCCCTTGATCCTGCCACTATTTACCCAAACACGAACGTAGGTTGAGATCCATCAAAACAAAAATGAGGCAGCTTACCAGTTTCCGAGCATCTCGAAGAAAGTGTGGTGGTAGAGGTCCTTCCCCACGTCGTCGAGGTCGTTGTGCTTGCCGCCCGCACGGATGCACTTCTGGGAGTTAGTGGCCCTAGTCAACTTTGACAAGGGCAGAGCTGGGTCTGCAGTTCCCAAGAACAGCGGCTTGAACTGTAGAGCCAGTCATGCCAAAAGGCGCGTCAAGGCACACGTGCAATATCGGGGATATCAACTTGGGGGGACTGGCATCGTTTGCATCAAAAAGAGAGCGTTGTGATCGCGTTTGTCTCCGGTAGAAGTCACGAACGGCATCACATTCTAGATACCGGACTGCTGCCGAGTCATCGTCGAACCTTGGTGCTAACTTCAATCCAAGCGTACCGCAAGGATGTATGCCTAACTTCTAGATCAGGGTACCACGCAGCTTTGCTACAGAGAAGCATATTATCAACGTACGATGCCGTTGACGCTGTTGATATACCTGATTCATGCCGGCATTGGCGAACAGGAGCGTGGGGTCGTCGTGAGGAACAACCGGACTAGACTTCCAGAAGGTGTGGTCATGCTTTTCCGTGAAGAACGAGATGAAAGAGTCGCGGACGCGGGATGCCGGCCAACCGTTGTCGGAGAACTCTAGTGCCAAAAAGAACAAAACGGTATCACACAAACCGCAAATTCAGCACCAAAAGCGAGGTTGGGTGTTGGGTCAGCCGTAACCCGCACAACCGCAGGCTGCCTTGGTTGTTGTTTACAACTCCTTCACAGTAGGAAAGCTATGTACGTGACGCGGCTGGGCCACCAGTTCCAGGTGTTGTCGCGTGTATCGGCAAACTCCTCACGTGTCAAAACGTGTCCAAAAGCATGCAACTCATTGTCGGACCACATGACCAATGGGTTGAGCTCGGCCTCAAGCGCCACGCAGCAGCGACTGTTATGCTGCTGCCCTGGTTTTCGAAGATATCTGTTTGCTGTGAGCACTGCTCCACGATAATTCAGCCTGGACCAATGTTGTCTCCGGGATCGAAGGATTTCTCGAAAATAAATATTTTCCAGCCTGCCCTAATGCTCATCTCGCTGTTGCCGTGGGACCCCATCAGTTTCATCTTTCATCACAGCCAAGCTTCTCGCCAAGAGCGCGCAGGAGCCCAGCAACGCAGGAGTTGTCAAACGCGATCCTGTTCTTCACTCGAGAACACATGATATACCATCGCCATGGTCTCACCTGGAGCGTGCGAAGTAACTGCTGTGGCTCGAAGCAACGTGGCACACTGCTGTTGAAAAGGATCCCACACACCTTTTACAAACGAACTTGATGCGACCCGAGGAAAGAACATAGCCACGCCACGCCCGGCGCCACGCTGAGCACATGAATAGATATTGAAGGCCTTCCGGATCTACACAAACTCGGATCGGTGCCACCGGGGCCGCGGCGGTTGACATTACCGCCTACCATTTCGGGTGGCTCTCAACCGAGGCTGTTGGCAAAATGATCAAGTGCCTTCACCAAAACAAAAATGAGACTCTGATATCACAGCAGGTCGACGTTTGAGGGAAAGAATACAAGTAGGAAATGTTTTTTTCCATGCTGCAGCACGGGTGGGCTAGATTGAGAGCTTGGAACTCGGGCGTAGTGCTTTCATGCATAGCAATAGTAGTACGAAAGTGGTTCTTCGAACTTCCAAGAAGATTGCTGTAGCGCTCCTAAGAGGCATGCAAGGCAGAGGACTTTTCTACCCCAAATCGGAGTTCTCCAATCAGAATTGGATAGCAAGCGCAGCCGTTGGTAAACGGGATGAAAATGCAGGGGGTCAGGAGGGGACGAACAAACACATGATACATACAGTAGGTGTCCCGGTATAGTGCCGGTTGAATAGTGCTTAAGTCCGGTAAAGTGCCGGCATATTTTCTTGACACAGACACAGGCCTGAATAGTGCCAAACAGGCACTATTGAGGACTGCCCGCTATAGTGCCGGTTCAGGCACTATCGAACCCCTCAATAGTGCCGGTTCATGCCCCACACACAGCCATTTTTCGCCTCAAGCCTTCCACACCAACAGGATTCGAAGACGGTTTAGCTTCGAGCTACAAGCAAGCTCGGTTTCTGTCGGTACGTGTGACGTCTTCAAATGTCATGGTTTACCGATCGATCAAATTTCGCCACAGCAAATTCAGTCAATAGGTTGGGATTTCAGTAGTGAGGCAAGCGGTCGAAAAGGAAGATGGTGGTAGTGACGAAGGATGTGGAAAGAATAGCGTAGGATAGCAGTGATGTTGGAGGAGGACAATATGGCGTTGACGGGAACAAGAGTTTCGAGCCAGATGACCTTCTTCATAACAAACGCCGCTGGGGGGCAGAGATGAACGCCCGAAAGTGGTGGTAAATACAAGAATAAAGGACGACAACACTCCGAAACGAACGCGTGTTCAAAAGAGTGGACTTGGCAGACACGTGCAGTTCTCCTCTGTTGCTACCGTTTCTGTCTTTTATCCGGAGACAGCTCAGCCTCCTCAATGACACTCTCTCACGAGGTCCCAGATCAGGACCTTGAGAAACATATATTTTCTGTTTTCAACCGCACTGACGTCTTTTGGTTGGCCCAAGGTTGGCCAGGTTTCTTGCTTCTGAAGGCTTCATCTTCTCTCTAGCTTTTCTCGAAGGAGCAGGGGAGTTCGTTATCTTCATCACCCCTTTGGGGTGCATCTGCTTTTGTTGCGCTCATGTAAGGGGCACTACATCCATGTTGTACCTCCAAATGTACGTCGGGTGGGTGCGTGCATGATGAGCGCGTCTGTCTTTCTACTTTCGTTGTCGAGGGGTGCCTTTGAGGTTGCCTGAATAGTGCTATCCACGCCTTCTTTTGCCACAACAGTGCATCATATGATAGCGATGTGCCTTTTGACCGGGCAGCACGGTCTACGGTTCGAAGGCAGCGGCGACATTTACTACCACCCTAGTGCGTGCGCTGAGGTGGGAAGAACAAAGGTGCAACAAATTTATCTGGTCAGTTCATCTTTGAGTCACCCAACCGTGTTGTCGACAGGCTAGCAGTCCCACGAAACTTGAAGAAGCCCGCCCACATCGCCCACCTCACAATTGATCCTTACAACGTTTGGTACTCTGTCAGCCCCGCAAAACGTAAGCGCTGCACCCCGAAGTCGAACAGCCCTCACAAGTGGCAAGCCGGCAATTTTGAGGAATTTTTAGACCCCGAATAATGCCGGCTAGGCACTATCAAGGTACAATTCTGAATAGTGCCGGTGGCCGGTAAAGTGCCGGTCCACCTCCCTGAACACATACCGGCACTACACCGGAACACCTACTGTACTTGCTTCCTTGGAGATTAAACGATCAAACACGTTCACGGCACTCACGACGGACGGTGGAGGTGCATCAGTGCGATGTTCATGTTGCCTGGCTGTATCGGTCGCGGGGTATGGTCTATGCAGTGCGAGGGCCAGGCTAATAGTTGGCGGAGACCACATTGACGTTCACCGTCGCGCTCGAAGGAGGCACGAAATGCGACACGTGGGGGAGCAGTATGAAGTATCCACCTTACTTCGGGGTTGCAACAGGTGTACCGCTGAAGATACAGCAGTCCGATCTGTCGAGGTCGCACACTCCGGGAGTAGCCAGTAGGCAGCTGTGCGCGCCGAAAACTATGGCACAGACTGACTGTACGCCGGGCTTAAGCGAAAGTCACACGCAACAGGTATCTAGCAGATACCCCCGTACCTGACTTCACGGTTGAAAAACCATGCAAAACGGACGGTCGTATGCGTTCCGTGTAGGCGGTAGAACGGGAGTCTACGGTGGCGTCCACACAACGACAGACAGCCGTTTGTGACAGCTTCGTGTGTGTGAAGTTCCGTGGATGTACATGTAGCAAAAGGGGGAGAATATTTCAAATTTGCATTGCAAAGTGGGTGCTATAGTGTACCTTTGCCATCCCTTGCGGTAATGTGCAAGGACCGATAGAGAGAGGACAGAGGACAGAGAGCAGCAATCTCTGCTGAAACAGTGGAGGTGCCATCAATCATACCCAAGGCGTTGGCTGCGAGGAACTCACCGACTTGGACCTCGTCGGCTTGGACCTCGTCGGCTTGTTTGCTCTCCGATTGTTTGACTCTAATCTCGGCCATTTCGCCGCTGCACAGAGAGATTGCTGCAATTATCTCGACACCTCCACCGCTATGCAGATGGGCCTGGTTTCTAAGCTTGTTGTGGTTCCCTGTTTGTGCGTGTTGCGTTGTCTATGTGGTCCACGCGCGCCCGTTCGCAGAACGCCGCAGCGGGGGTACACCTGATTGCATTTCCGCATCCATTGGAGGGTATACGTTTGGGGCGGAGGAATCAAGTATAACGAATGACGGGACCCCGAAAAGAATGAAGGAAGGGTTGGGTTTGTGTGATTTTTCATTTTTCCCAAATAATCTGAACATTAAAATTCGTTGATGTGGTGTGTGTGCCCTTGGAAGGTTAATGGTTGATCATACCAAGCCCGTTGTGTGAGTCCGCCGTAGATTCTTCCCCACACGTCACCTGTCCAATAAGCAAAAAGACCGACTGCTGTGTTTTGGATGCGCCCCTCTTTTGATTGGCTCTTGAGAATCTGGTGTTGTGCGACACAGCTTCTTGAAGCATCGTTAGAGTCGAGGCGATGCCGCCCCGTGTGCCAGCACGAGGAATAACAAGCCAGCCGAGTGTCTCCATGAATCTCCTCCGTGCAGACACGATGCCGTCGGGCACCGAGATCTGGGCGGAAGATGAGGCCGATGGAGGAGATGAAGTTTGGATGCTTGCGGAGGTCCTGCAGCAAGATAACACTATGCTTACTGTGCGCAAGAAGAGGACAGGAGAGGAGCTTGCGATCGATTTGGTGAGCTGATAAATAAATCCACAGGCCACCTGCGGATGAACCTTGCATACGCTCCTGCTTGTGGCGAGTGCCCATTCGGACATGAGATGCGTGGTTGAAGATATTGGGTTGGGGAGTGGGGCTTTACAGTATGATAAAATGCTGCTGCCAGGTGTTCGCTGGGTTTTGGGAAGGCAACAACGTGTTGATCGGGGAATTGCGCTGTTGTTGCACATAGACTCTTTTAAGCAGTATGCATCCGGCGAATCATGTCCCTCTCATCCCTTTGTTGGACACGGACATCGTGTCGTTCCTTACTTCTTGCTTCGTGTTGGTCACGAAAACGTAGCCCACTTGGCAAGCGACCCCACCCTCCCTAAAGAGAACGAAGTTCTGTATTGAGCACCTCTTTTTGCTCGAAAAAACAAAACGTACAACATCAGTGGAGATGAGATGAACATCACATGTGGGTATGTGTTTTTTGGCCCGACGACGAACCGACGCGCCGAAGCCAAGCTCAAATCCCTTCCATTTTTCTGCCAAGACACACAGCTCGGCAAATGCTACACTGGTCGGCGATGCCACTGGTATCATAGCGCTGCATGTACCTCTGCAAACGCTTCAAGTTACGTCGTTACTCAATCGTATTTTGGCCATGTAT